GAACGCACGAGGAACTCGCGTGTCTACGTGTCGTCGCCAGCCAATGCTCGCAGATTCGTGATCGCGCCGTAGATCAGCCGATGGCTGATCTACAGAGAACGACTGGATCGACGTCTGTCACCATCTGCTCGGTCACGAAATAAGCAGGGGTGAGGAATGATTCATGCTCTGACCGTACTCGCTCGTATTAACCGAACCGTGAACGTTCGCGTGAACGAAATACGTGTTACCTTAAATTAAAGTAGCAAATCTACTAGGAATATCTACTACTCTCCACTAGGAGTGTCTACCACTCTCAAGCCGAGTGAAGTAACCGCAAGCGAGTGTACCTAAGCCCGAACTAAATTGATTTCTACACACCTGAGAAGCGTAAGAAAAATTCTAGTTCATAATACGCGATCGGATTTAGATATCGTACGACTGACAAGTCGCACTTCCACGTTATTAAATAAAAATTATTATGATAAAGTATGCTTGTGATAAGGATGCGAGGGTTCGCATCTTGATCAGATTAAAATACGATGGTCATCGGACGGATCGACTGGAAAATCAGATATTTCAGTGAACGCGGCTCAAAACCGTAGTACATATTATTGCTATTGTTCCCGGCATGCAATTTGATTACGCATTACGATTAGGCTGTAATCAGAACGATTGGCGATTGGGATCGCGGGGCAAGCCGGGTCGAGTGATATCAAAGCGACTGTCGATAATGCAATAAGTGGCAGTAAAAAGACATTAATTCATCGCGATCGCTATTGTTGTTTGCGCACAACGTCGCACAAAGGAACTTCCGAGAGGACTAAGTCCCGTTTACGACGACACAAGGGGCAACCGGTGAGGAGGAGGAGAGTATCAGGGCCGCAACGTCCAAGGATATCTCGATGCCTTGCGGCATCGGATGAATACCTTCGCGCTTCGTCTTATTTTTGACTATGCCAGACTTGCGGGCAGGCGCGCGCGCTCGCGCGCCTGTATATCCGCGCGTGACTCATCTACGGCATTCGTCTACACGATAAATTTTGCAAGTTTCTACCACAGAGGGGATAAACGGGTGAAGTTGGCTTCAACAGGAATTCAATTTGGAATTTTGTCGCCGCGAGACGCCGAGTGTTGAAGGCCGGGAAAAACCGCGACGAATTATGGCTCCTCGCCAAATTCCTTTTTGCCTTAATCCGCTCCTGGCGAGTATATTCGAAGCAACGAGCGCTTTGTTCCGCGTTCCCCTATTCGCAAACGCGGCGGCACAGTTGCGGTAGCCCCATAATACCGTTCGCGTGATGAGCACGCGACATGTGCGAGTCGTTATATGCTTGATTGCCTTATCTTCCTCGAGCTCTACGTGGCGCACGCGTGTCGATCAAACGCGAAAAACAGCGACGATAAGCTGCCTCTCGCGCAACGCTATTTCGCACCTCTCTCTCTCTTAAATATTTCCGACTGTCGGCGGGAGTAACGCGCGATTTACTATCTTCTATTTTTATTTCGCTCTCCTGATAATAACTTAAAATAGGGTTCGCCTTATCGGGAGTAAAAGTTATCAATTATATTTAATAACGACGGTGAGATTAATGCGAGGAGGTAAATAGCGGGACGACTAATTCAGTTTAACAGCGAACAGGGAAAACAAATTGTCCGTTGGATCTGTTTTACAAACAAACCTAACTTATGTAATCGAGAAGAACGAAATGGCTTCATTATTAATTGGATATGAATCTGTCACGTAACTCATCTTCGATAAAGTCATATCTAAACGAATGAGGCGCGGAAGCCTACAGCCAATCGAACGATCCGTTCAAATCAATCGTCGGCGAGATGTTCTCGATTCGCAACACTTACCATACATGTTGTACCTGTCGTACACGTTGTGTACGGTACTTGTTGCGTGCTAACCATGTTAAACGACATATGCTGCTATTTATGAAGCCTTCCACAGACACAGGCCCCTAATTGGCCTGGAATTCAAACGCGCGTTTCTAGGCGAAACCGAATGTAAAAAGACTCACAAGATGATAAAGGAAACGGCAGAGGAGAAGCATAATTACGTCCTTGCGGCTTATCGCGAAAGGGGTGTCGAGAAATCTCACTTTATGTAACGACTTTTTGCTTACACATAACATGTGCGCTAACTGAGTGACTGGGAAACAAATTCGATGGCTCGTTGCGATGTGCTTGCATCAAAGCACCCGAATAAAACTGCTAGGACGGTCTGTATGACATTTAATGTTCCGCTTATATGAATGCTTGCACCATACGCACGCACGCACGCACGTGTGTATTACACGCCAAGTGCAACGATTGTGAGAGACGAGAAAAATTATGTTCCGCCGCACATGTCGCGACGGCTCCCTTTACCGCGGTCGGTGTCGTAAATTTTCTTATACGATCTGCTCTCTCGTATAGACCGATTATGCGTATTCATTTCGCCGAGTTAGTTCCTGAATTCTTACGCAACGTTGCGTACACGAGATTTCGTTCGCGCGTGGGTCGTGTCGCATTACGTCGCGCGTCTGCGAGCTCCATAGTCGCACTTTACACGCGATTTATCATATAATTAGTCCTATGGAAACGCAAACGAGCGGCCGTAAATTTAAATTTATTTTCAGGTCGTCTTCATCGACGTGAATGCGCGAATAAAAGCGTCAACATAACATTTGTTGGCCGGATAATAATATTTCACAAGGAATGCGTCAATAGAGACGTTAGACAGAAAATACGCGTTGGAGGTGTCAAATACTTTGAGAACACGATGCTACATACACACACACACACACACACACACACACAATATTTTTACTTTACGAAGAAGGTGCACGAATTGAGAGCTCAGACGTTCCTCTTGGATGAGCTTTAAAAAGCTTTAAAAAGGTACACTTTCAATGGGTCATTTCCGGTTTATCGAGCCTTCCTACGTCGAACGGAGAGTCATGACGACGTTATATAAGACGACCGCGGAAAAAACAATCATAAGCAAAAGTCAGACGTAATTTGCCGAGTGTTTCCGCAACAATGTAAATTTGCGGTAAAAACGCCAGTCGCCCGTTGCAATCTGCCGTTACGTCGCCGACACAGCGATTTCGTCGTACCGCTACTGTTCGGGACACACCGTGAAAGCGGAGATTCTTTGCGCCATTGACGTTCCTAATGCGACGGTAAGTTGGGCATAATAAACATTTTCATCACGCGGGAAACAGCTCGCAACGCAGCTGGGAAACTCGTAATATACGTTAAACGTTAGAAAACAGGCGTAATTTTCGCGCGATAATACGACACAATTTGTTGACTCGATCAATTATGTCGCGATTAAACGACGACTCGTGACTTACTGGAAAAACCCGTGCCGCTGCAACAATAGGCCGAACTCAAAGTTTAATATGCATTCTCTTTCTATGTAATTGTGACACTCGTTGAATGTAATTCAAGCATTATAATGGGGGGAAATTATGACTGCTTCGCATGTACGACTTGACCTTGCAACGTCGCGACTACCCAACATCGTAAAAACGTTGACCACCTGTGCGTTCCCCTCTCATGCCGAACATCGTAAACAAAGCGAGGACTTTTCGCGCGACACGCGACACGAATTAGCGATAGGAGAGAAATATTCGTACTATAATGTTCTTGACATTTCAAGAGGCCGTGATTGTCTCACGATGAAATATTCCCATTTGCGTTCTTTGCGCAATTCTCTTTATGCTTGCGCAATTCGTCGCAATATCGCTCGCGATATCTTTCAGGAAACACCGAGAAATGGCGCAAAGAACGTACAGATGGAAACTAAGATTTATTATTAAAATATTGTCGCATTATGATTTCACACCGATGTGGCGCGAACTTTCTCACTTTTTTCACGACAGAAAACATAAGACCTGTGTTTATCCGATTTATCGCTCGAGGTGAAACGACGTGACGGTCAAGTCAATAAAATCCCCGAAATCACGGAGGAATTTTGTCCAAGGACCTAACCAGGCTGGGCCGCCTTGAAATATCTAACCGTAAAACCGGAATAATCTGCACATAATGATTGTCACTTTATTCATCACCAGCCGCAGAATATTCCGTGAGCCACGAGACGTTCACTTTTCACCAATAATGCGCGCATTAATGCGCGCGGTGATAGAGGCCGACTGTCACTTGAACGTCTCCGATTTCTGAATTTAGTTGAAGTAGTATTTAGAGCTGTGAGATGCAAATGGTTAACAAATCAAGCAGTAACAAGAAGAAACGCCACAGTAAACTCCCCAGTAAACACAAAGTATCATCGATGTTACAATGTCAGCTAAATCTTATGGTATGTTACGTAATTGTTACTTTGTTGCGTAACAAAGTAACTGTTTGCTGAGTCGTGAATACTTTTCATCGCGAATCTATCCGTCCTCAAAGCATGTCGTACACGTAAACAAGTAAATATAGATTCTAACAAGCAATAAAAATGTATCTGTATTTTTCAGCGGAACAAAGATCAACCGAGTAAAGAAGAAGAGGCGCTAAGGGCGCTCATTAAGCGCAGTTGTTAAGGCAGCCCTGGGCCCGGGCTGCATTCCGAAAAAGTGGAGCAGCGCATCGACTCGCTCGAGCCAGGTGCATCTAGGAATACCAACGTTATTCTGAATTTTTCATATTAATACCAAGAACGCTGGCAATTGGAATCGATATTCAGTGACGATGTAACGCGAGAGCCGAAATAATTATAAGACGCGGGAGACGCGGGAGTGATTCATCAAACGCGTACATTACCGAACATTGATTTTGAAACGCGATTTTCCCATCACACTGTATTGTCTTCGTTAGGATGCAGATAAAACGAAACCCTAAAACGCAAGGGGAAAAGTAGATAAATAAAAAAAGTTCATATCCAATAGCAATGCTTGAAGATATCGACAATTTGCTCGCGTGCGTGTCGATATCGAACGGGACAGGGATTCGTCGTTTTCGAGATACCGCGTGATGCATCTGAACGGTGAGGTGGCGAGGAAAGTGAAAACCAGACGAGTACTTACCGAAACGACGATGATGTCGGCGCCGCGGAACAGCTGATCGACTCGCTCGGTGGGTGTCGGCCTAGCCTAACCTCTACGGTCCACCGTATCGCTGCGGCTGCACTTTCTCACACATCCGATGCACTGGCGAGGTGTCCTCGAGGGGTCGACGGGACGGACGACGTGTACGACAGACGTGTTCCGATGCACAACGCGATCAGCCCAGATTGGCGAGCAGCACCGACGCGATCGACGCGGCGGGATGCGGCCTCCTTGAAATCACAATTTGAAATGTTTCAGGATCCGCGTAGTAGCTCCCGATTGTATGCCTCGCGAATGAATCGGAAGATTCATGCGATTCGCCCCGATTCCGCGACGTCGCAATGACGAGTGGCGTTTATGTTTACACGGCTTGTCGGTGACGTAATTCGCGACGCAAGTCGGGATGATTACTTCAATAATGTCCGCGCGCGCGGTGTTGCGACGTAATCTTCGTCCCGGGTTTCCGTAACAACAGCGCGGCGAACATTCGCAGCACGGTGTCCCCGGCGCGACGTAATGCCCTCGATATTCAGGACGCTATTTCAATAACGAAACGCACATTCATTTCAGTGTCCGGACGTAACATCGCGGGATGTCGTCGCTTCAATAACGAGGACGACTACTTGTCGTCACGACGTCACGACGCGCAATATATCTATCTCACCCTCTTTAAACCACGATGACCACGAGACGACAACGCGACGCAAATGTTAGCGCGAGTATCTCGCGGAATTACTCGCTCGTTATTCGACCCTGACTTCGATAAACGAGTAAGTGCTACTCACAAGACGTACTTCACGGCTGTGTGCCGAGCGCGGTCTAACGAACGGTCCCGAGGATCGAATGCGGTATCCTCGACGCAGGACATCGTGGGTCGCGTGGCGTCGTAACCCAATTCCTCATCGTTGGCCCATTGCTGTTCCCGACGGCGGCAGGGAGCGACGGCGGAGCTCGTCGAGACGCTCTCGCTCGGTCGCACGGTGCACTCGCGACGCAGGGGCCACCCGCACAGCCTCTTCGATCGACGATTAAATCGCAGTTACGGCACGGAGGCGAAGTAGCCTAGCCCGCTCTATTTACCGGACGAACGCGGAGCGGAGCGGAGCGGAGCGAGCGCGATGAAGGCGGGGGCGGCCGTCCGACGAAGCGACACGAAGCGCTCGGCGAGCCGGACCGAGCGAACGCGAAGGCAAGGGGGCGGTCGGGCGGACGGGAACGTACCTGTCTCACCGTACAGGCGAACCGATCACACGCGCGGTAAAGAGGAGACTAAAGGACTCCGTTCCGTATACCCGGCGTGGACTACATGCGGCGCGCGCATGCGTCCGCCCGTCCCGCCCCGCGGGCGCGGGTACGACGCGGCGATACCTGTCGTTGCCACTGTACAGTTTTTGCTACGCGTGTTTACGCGTCTCGTATGTTTTGCAGAATATGCAGTGATTTGTTTACGAATTATGCTCTGGAGTGTGATAGGGGAAGGACAAGAGAGAGACAGGAAAGAAGCGATAGGCAGACGAGAGATTACTTTCAGCTATTTTCTTCTGTACTTTGTTAGAAGTCTCTCTCTCTCTCTCTCTCTCTCTCTCTCTCTCTCTCTCTCTCTCTCTCTCTCTCTCTCTCTCTCTCTCTCTCTGTCCGTCTACATTTTAAATATGTCTATTTCGTTTTGAATATAGATTACGGGAAAAGATCTTCGACATTTCGTGCTAGAATATATTCCGATGGTAAGCCGTCTGTATCGTTTGTTTTTTATCGAGAATTTAGAGGTACCTTTCTCGCGGTTTAATCTTTGATATAGAATAAAATTCAAAATATAGGAATATAGGGAATATTCGCGAAGTTTTCACCGTTTTTCGTATATACATCGATACGTTTATTCCCCCCGATTCGTTTCCACTCGTTAATGATCTGCACCTAAATACCGCGAATATCAGGAATACCACAACCGGAATATTACACAATGATCTCTGTAATCATCTGTACCTGTGTTAATGTGTGTGAATTGTTCATCGCGTATGCGAAACGTCACATCTACGAGGATTTTTTTCATGTTACCTGACACGCGTTGAAGCTCGAGTGCCCTCATCATTTCCTGCGATTTTTCGTATAATCCTTTCTTGAAAAGAACTCTTCGTGATCGCGTCTTCGGTACTTTCAGAAATAGACGCAGCACGCATTCGATGTTTATTACTACGCCGAAATAGGCCTGAAAATCGTGTCATCAAAACCAGTTTCCTTTTTACGATAATTTTGTCGATTTCGAAGCTAACCGAGATTACGTTAAAACGTATAATTTCTGAATATAAAATTTCGTGTCTCTATAATCATTCGAACAATATTCCCGACTATTGTGTCCTCATATGTGTTACTACTTAAGCGTAGTAACACGTATGGACCGCATAGCAATTCGCGGACATTCTAGAACGCACATATTCCTTTGTTCCAACGATCTAATAACATTACGAACGTTTATTTTTCTAGTGCTGACAATTCAGCGTTTACAAAGCACGCGACAATACACGATGTTCCTTAAAACCAATAAACTCAAAGTAATCCAATGACGTTAATTATTTACAAAACTTATTCTCGAAATTCTCTGTCGCTTTTAACTTGCTCCGCATGCGAGGAATAACATGAAATTGGAAAAACGACTTGGGAAACAAATAAGGTATTAAATTAAATTTTTGTACTTATTATTTTTCATGAGGGTCGCCAGAATTAGCACCGTAATAAAAAAACATAAAATGTCAAAATAATAATTATATTGTTCTTATACGTGAACATAGTATGAACAATACAAATAACGTACGAAACATAATGAACAACTTACAAGTTGCACTTTTGTATTCCATCGTTCCGGTAATCAGCCTGTTTAGTGAAACGACACTAACGGACGCTCGAGTTGACGCTTTTGCGGATGCTACGAACGCGAAGCACCATTCCTAGTAAAGTATTCGGCCTTCCAAACACGTTACGTGGTATTCTACACTATTCGAAGAACGCGAAGAGTCCGAGTAATCCGACTTTGTATAAACTCGATGAAGAGTAGCGCATGCCACACGCTCGACGATCACCAGTTTCAGTCGACATAATTCAAATTTCCGAGAATTCGTTCTTTCTTGCTTTTCTGTTCTTTTTCTAGTCGAAAAATTTAAATACGCAATGTCGAGAAACAGTTGTCATGTATCGTGGAACGATTCGTGATAATATAGCACGTATAACCTTAAAAAATTAGGTTAGCGATCTCGGGAGGATACTGAAGTTAGTTGCATGACTCGCGTTGATACTTCGATAATCGAAGGCGACGGGCACAGTGCTTCGGGAAATATTGGAAAGTAAGTAGAGTAATCATCTTGTCCGCGAAATCCATCGCGATCGTTGGGAAATATCGCGAAACACGGCGTCGAATTGTTAAAATCGTGTTTGCAAAGACAAAACGCTTCGGTGATATTAGCAAGACGCCGTGTTAATTACTAATTCGTCGAGTTCGAGACCGCTTCGAGTTTGCTCGGTAGATGTTTCGGGACATCTCAATAATGTCGGAAGTGCGATATCGGGTAATCAGAACAGAGCAGATTTTACAATTACTTTTACTCGTTCGCGATATTTCCAAAGCGTCGAAGAATGTAGTGATGTTATGTGAGTTTTTCCGCGTCCCATAGCGATATCACGTAAGGACGCGGAGGACGCGTTACTACGTAATATTTTTGCATTCGGACGTGCAGTCACGCTATTAGGTCGCGTTCGCGTATGTGAATTTCGACGACACCGGAAATATAACGCGGAGAATTTTATAATCAAGCATTCTTTCAGTACGTGTTCCGGAAATATCGGGAGTATGACGCCGGAAGATTTTACGAATGATAAATACGTCGTTGAAGCAATGCATGATCGCCTGGAGAGAATTGTGCGGAACGAATGGATTATTGTCGGAGCAAAGGATCATCTTCAGGTTAACAGATCACCAAGCATCGGATTATCTTCGAGGCATATAGATTTTCACAAACAATCGCTGGTAGCAACCGGTGAGTCTTTTTTAAGTAAATTCTTGATTCTTTATTAATGAGAACTTGTGGTATATCCTCATTCGCGCAATAATCGTTAATTTCGCGGATTTATACGATATCAGATCTAACATATATTCGTTTATTGCATATCTTCATTTTACGAAGATAAAATTGAGGTCAAATATCGGATATTGCACGGAATATATTTCAATATTAGCACAACCTGTGGTAAGAATATAACAAAACGAAACTACAGAATTAATTTGCATGTTCGAATTTCTACGCTCTCGAATAGTGAAGAAAATTTCTGTGAAATCGTCCAAGGTAGAATGCCGCGTATGTATGATTTCACTATAATTAATGGTGTATTATTAGTATGAGAATTTCTCTCGTGTGAAATTAACGGTAAACTCAAGCGGAAAAATCGTTAAAAAGTTGCGGAATCTTTCGATTACATATATCCGGCTTTCCACAGCCAGATCTGTGGCGCGCATTTGTTGCTCATAAAAGCGTCTACTCGTAATTACATGCCACTAACAGCCGGCTATTAGCCTCTTAATATTTCCCAAGGAGGGAAACAATAAACATTTTTGTTCTCTTTTACTTTGGGCAACGTTTCCTCTGTGGAATGTATTCCTCCTGAAAGATGTGCTTCAAATCCTATCAAATTTTATACGAATATAATTTTTATGTCCTTATGCATGCAAAATTTTACACCATCCAACCTATAATTATTATTGCTCGAGAGATCCATTTATCATAAGAGAATCATTAAAAATCTAAAGTCTAGGTATTGATCTCTATAATTGAATTTATATAATTACTGTAATATAATTTTTAGATAAGAGAAATAAGAAAACAAATATCGTTTAATTTCGTACGCAATAGAATATTATATTAAAATATAAATGCTGAATCTACAACAGTTACATGTCCAGTTTATGTATATATATATGTATATATATATAAATATTTTACACGTGTAACTTTCACCGACTGTACAGCAATCGTCCAAAAAATTATTACGGCTGACGGCGAATAGCACGCGAAGATCTTTTTATATTACGCACCTTGCGCTTCTAAATGCATTACGATTACTCTTATTTGAGCAATCTTTCCACTTTAATTTCTGTAGAAGCATAAAAGCAAACGAAATGCAAGCAGAATAGAAATTCTTAAATTTTTTAACATATTTTATAGTTCAGAGTTGTCCTGTAAGTCTTGAATAGAATTTCCTTATCAGTAATGAAATAAAAATGTTTACTGATAAAGATGTTTGATGAACAAAAATCTGACGAATTAAGAAGTGCAAGGAATGGACGAAATACTTCATATATTATCTACGATTTTGTGTATCAGATACGCAAACGACTTGTAGATGAATCCGCGTTCGCTCACTACTGTTCATCCTTGTCCTTTGCGCCATGCTTCAGGATTCGAGTAAATTCCAGGTAGTCAAACATAGAACCTTTGATCGGTGCCTCGCGATACATTTCGTCTACGTCATCGTCCGTGAATCTAACGATAGAAAAAAAAAAATTGGTATTGCATTATTAAGTTAATGATTTCATCATTAAAAAAAATTCATGTTTTAAATGTAAAAAATAACATATAATCGTATATTCATGCAAATGATTGTAAAAATGTTTTTTTGGAGTTTCTATTTAATTTTTTGGAAGATTTTAACAATCCTGTAGATTATATAACTGATCGATTATTATTTGCCGATTATATGATTACTAAAAATGGTAAAACATTTATAAATCAGAATAATTATTCTTTCTCATAAAAAGAATCATTCAAAGGATCATTAAATTTAATTCCTACATATTTTGATATATCCATATAAATCTCATTTAGACAATAATGCACAACAATGTTATAATTATAGTAAAATTTTGATAATACATTGATTACCTGTCGCCCATTGTCGTGAGCAGTTCACGAAGACGTTCTTCATTTATGTGACCAGTATTTTCCTCGTCAAAACAGCCAAAAGCGTTCTTAATTACATCTTCCGGGTCAGTCCCTTGCAATCTCTCTCCGAATAGTGTCAGGAACATTGTAAAGTTGATAGGTCCAGGTGCTTCATTCATCATTGCTTCTAAATATTCATCAGTAGGATTTTTTCCTGTAAAAAAAATGCTTAAGTTTCACACTCATATTTCACTTCCATTTAAAAGGGAACATATAATTGCTGATATTCGTGTAGATAGATCGTGAAAAGATTTTTATGAATCTTATTTTAAATTATTTTTGAAAGAAAAAGTTTTGAGATTTAAAATACTCACCCAGGGATGCTAACATGTCGTGCAGATCTTCTTTATCAATGAATCCATCATGATTTTGATCAATCATGTTGAAAGCCTCCTTGAATTCCGCGATTTGCGCCTGATCAAACATCGCGAAGACGTTTGATGTAGCGCGTTGAGCGCGTTTCTTTGTGGTGGCACGGCGACCAGCAGTTTTGCGAGAAGACATACTGAAGTTTTGTAACCTATTAAAAGAGAAATTAAAAGTTTCTTCATTCAGTTGTATATAATATATTGAAATCAATGCCTATTTAAAATTAAAATTTATGTTTGTGTGAAATTATTCGCTAGAATAGAACTATATTTACTAAGATTTCATATCTTTACAAATTTAAATAATAGGCACTTCATAAAAATTGTAACAAGGACATGTAAGAATGTTTCTCAGATGAAACTATGGATTCTTTGACATATATTTGATGTTTTTTTTTTTATATAGAAACTAGAACAGTTGATAATTTATTGAGAAATTTAGAGTACACTATTGACTTTGAGATTAGGTCAATAAATTTTGATCCAATTTGATATATTTCAAAGAAAACGGTGCTTGACATGATCTATTTAGAAACCATACATCACAGTGGTCTTTGTATATTGTTTGCTTGAGAAATAAACTTGTGATTTTTCGGTCATAAATTTATCGCGAGATTTTAGCGAAACAAAGGTGCGTTCTTTCCGAATTAAAAGGAACACCATGATGACGCGGCTCAAGTTGCCAAGTCGCCATCGCGGTGTTTATTTTCGGATAATCAAATTCAGGATATACCGACGTGACCGAAATTGGGATAAAAATAATACCACTTGGATGAGGGTGCGACTAACGGGTCGTTATTCTCTACGTATGCTCGAGTGACCTTCTGTTTCACATACAGCATGTTACCGCTAACTTAAGTTAATTTTCCTATCAACTATTCATAGATTTGTCTAGTTTGAAGATAGAGCCTCTAAAGATATTACTTTTTGCATAACAGGACTATTTAGTATCATCAGATTTTGCATTGTTTACAAACATAGAAATCTGATTATAACATTAATTTTCAAATGTAGTTTCACAAAATCCCAAAAGCCTTTGTCATACTGGTTATACGGTGTGAAATTACTCATTCGGTGGCAGATTTGAATTTATTTTATGCATAAAAATTATTTTTATTTTTATTCTCTTTTAACACTAAAAAAACATATTTTATATATAAAATATATTCACATAAATATTATAAGATATAACAACCTCTTTTTAAATATAAAATTATTTCTGATTTTCATTTCTTATATTTATGAATATTTGTCACTTGAGATATATATATTTTCTCTTAGGATTATTCGTTAAAATTTTGTAACAATATTTATACACTTATACAAGCATTTGCCCATCTTTTTAAAATCGTCCTACTTTTCAAATCTTTCGTTTTCTTCGTTCCCATTATATCGCCTGTTATCTACTACGGTACTGCTCCTGTTTGTAGACGTTTCTCTCGTGTCATTAGCGCTTTTTTCTCACAACTTTATGTGCACAACACATAACCTAAATAAGCAACGTTTTGTTGCTAACTATAGCGTTTTCGTGACTTGTTTGGTTTTACCAAGACTCTTTACATTTTTCTCGAATTGCACACGACTCACATCGTGCAAACCATAACCGAGTGACAATGGCGGTTCTTCGAGAAGACTCGCTGTCAAAACCGTCGAGGTTCCACATGCTTGGATTTTCGAGAAAAGAATCGCGTCGTTCAGTTAATTGCGAATTAAACGAGGAGCAGTAGCATGAGTGTACTTACCCGATGAAACAATATAAAGATGGAAATCCAATAAACGAAAATTCGTGACTAGAACGAAGCTGAACCTCACGGTGTATACTGTGAGTCACGTTACGCGTCACTCTGTGGTTATTCACCACACCCGACCAACTAGCACCATCTGCTGGAAGTCATGGAAGAATAAAGGCGCGAATCATGAAGAGCACGAAAAATTTAGGCCAAAGCGTTGACCTCAGGATTGTGCATTGCTTTCTTGCGCACAGGATGTTTGCAAACAGCAACCGATTTCTCATTCAGTTATAGTGTATTCGAATAATATTGGATCGTTCTTTTAATTATAAAAATCTTGAAACGATGACAATTACTATGTTGTTAGTAATCAAGAATAAGCGAAAGTTTTATTTTATATTTCATATGAAAATTTATGTGATTTTTGGCTGGAATTTAAATTCTTACAAACGGATTTCAAACATTCTGAGAAGAAAATAATTTGATAAAACCAAACATTATAAATTAATGACGATACTAATAATAGTAATACTAAATAATTTTGTATAAATTTTTAAGGAAGAAATTTTTCTAGTAATAATTTATATAGTAATAATTAATGCAGTATATTTAATTTATAAAATTTTGTGGGTATGATCTGTGAAAGTGATCACAGCCCTGAATTGAGAATCGCTTCCATACTTGGTTGAACGTATGTTGCGCCGACTCAGAACCATATAAGGACATGAAGGAGACTAATCGTTTTGTAATCTCTCGCGATGATGGTAGCAGTAAGTGAACATTTTTTATCAAGAAAAGATCAGTTTCAAAGGTTCAAAGTCGAGGAATCGTTATTAAAGTTCTTTAACTCTTGTTTTTTTTTTCTAAAATATTTTATATTACATATAATATAAAATAGTTATTTTTAAACGCGAGATTAAGTTAACGAAAGTAAAAACACAAGTTTGCAGTCCTGATTTCTGAAATTCTGTGAGGTCAGAGCTAGATAACATGAGACATAGTGATATAGAGTAAAACAGAGCATTGGTTTCTTTATTCGCACAATCGTAAACTTACGCTACAACGTTTCGCTTAAAGGCTACGAGTAATGAACCTAAACGATTGATACACCGTATATACAGAATCGTACACGTAGTTGATCCTCGGAGATGAAATCTCGTAGAGAGGACGATCATTCTCAGTGTGCAACTCTTTCAGACGTCGCGAGGCACGCGAGTCTGTGCTTTCTCCGCTCTTACGCGAATTATTTACATAAATCGTCACCACCCCGCGATGCGCGGTAACATAAATAACGACAACAAGTTCTTCGGCGTTTTCTGTACACGGAGCGCCATCTCGAGAACGGTGAGAATCGTGCGACAAATCTCCCGAGGTCGACGACAATCACCTCCGATCGTTCGATTCCCGACGAGGTCGAAGTCGGTCGTTGTAATTTCGAGCTATCGCACAGATACTCCGTTGATGGTGATCCCGTTCCTGTTGGAAACCGGTTCGGCCTCGTAGTGTCCAGATCTGCCGTACATTCTTCTCGGATGTCCACCGTACCTGTCGCGAACGTATCAAATTATGCGAAATTTCTGTATCAATTCTACCCATTTAACGCAACGCGGTGAAATGATCGAAGTAGAACATCTTATCACGTTTGTACTTACTGTTTATCTTTTTTGTATATTTTACTCCGAGGATATTCGTACTTTCCAAATAATATATGCGCGTATGTTCAAAGAAATAATTATCTTTATACTAATATCAAGCAGAATACAAAAGCAGATTAATAGTGCGACACATATACCTTAATTTATAGAAATTTGAAATTCATTCGATTTAATACGATCTTTTTAACTTACCTGTACGCGCTACCGCCTAAGCTGTAGGGATTATCGTAGAGACCATCCTCGGGGACGTTCTCGTACATGGTATTGTGTGTACCGTCGTTCAACGTCGCGTAAGACATTACTGCGGCATTTTGGTCCTCTTTCCTCTCCGCCGCCTGAACGTTCTCGGTATTTTTCACCGGCGTAGCTTTTCGTCTATAAATATTAGCGTACATTAGTTTCCAGTTAATCGATCAAAGAGTCTCCTCTATTCGACTGAAATCTCCGAGTCCAAATTAAAGAATCATCCGCAAGCCTCACAAGTACGGTTCAATTCTATCTCGGCTTTGAATTATTGTCGAAAGAAATATGCTTTCTTCGAAAGATGATACTCACAGCCTGAGATAGACTAGTCCGAGGATGATTAGTATAAATATGATGACGCCAGCTCCGATGCCAACGCTGGTGCCGACACCTTGAGCCTCAGCAACTTCGTTCACCGCCACTGCAACATAAATGACATACATCGAATATTTCTGTCACGTTTCTAATTGTTTCACATATGTCCTCGGGATAAAACAAACGATCCATAATATTGCTTCGAGCTGTTTGCTGGCCGAAGTATTTTACGAAAGAATTTTCGAATATCTTGAGGAAAGAAGGAGGAGTTAGCTGATGAAATTTGCTGATGTCTTATAATTAGGGTATTATACAAGGTCTGCCAAAAGTTCCGGAACGGCTAATTATTTTAAAAAATAATGATTGTTTAAAACAATGTTTGATACAAAAGTTGTAGGGGTTAAAAATAAGCTATCAGATATTGATAATTGTTTGACCTTGAGAAACGTTATCAAGGTCGACATAAAAATCTTAAATGGAAACTCCAATTTTTTATTACACCGTCTTTTTATTACACCAATTGATTTGAACAACTTTTTTGTCTAAAACATTTTTTATTTGCCAAATATTTTTTGAGATATTTAAGGATAGCTTGGTAACTTTTTCAATATTTAACTTATGATATCTCGCTAACTGTTTTGTCGGGATAAAAATGGTACTAGACTTTTCTATTCTATCTGATCTCAAGAATATATTGGTACAATAATGCTCCATCTTTTGTTAATTTATCGATCTTTCGAAATTTCAAAATCATCAAATTAACAAAAGTCAGGGCGCTATTGTAACAATATATTCCTGAGACCAAATAGAATAGAAAAGTCTAATACCATTTTTATATCCCGACAAACAGTTAGCGAGAGTTATCGTAAGTTAAATATTAAAAAAGTTACCAAGTTAAAAAGTCCTTAAATATCTCAAAAAATATTAGGCAAATAAAAAAATGTTTTACACAGACAAAAGTTGTTCAAGTTAATTGGTGGAGAAAGATGGTGTAATAAAAAATTGGAGTTTCCATTTAAGATTTTTATGTCGACCTTGATAACGTTTCTCAAGGTCATTCCAAGGTCAAACAATTATCAATATCTGATAGTATTTTTTAAGCCCTACACAACTTTTGTTTCAAACATTGTTTTAAACAATTCATCATTATTTTTTGAGATAACTAGCTGTCCCGGAACTTTTGGCAAACTCTGTATGTTAAATATATCAAGCATATTCCTCAAGAATAGACTATTTACGTTCACATTTCGGCTCCTCGCCGTTCCAGAATCCCGTGTCCAGGCACTTCCTCAGGAATATGCCGACCCTCTCATACTGCGGTAAGCAGTGATATTCCGCGGCTCCTCCATAAGTCGTCGATCCATTCACCACTATCACTCTACCGTTCTCTATCGGTCCAGGATGCTTGCAATCGACCGCTGAAAAGACCGCACAAGTTAAGGCGCTCCGATCGCGTTTATTAGTAGAAAAATATTTACGGTAGATTTACGGTAGATCCATGATTGATAAATATCGCAGCATCGTGGATCGTGATTTCATATAGTATGTGTAATTCGTGCAAAAAGGATTAATTATATCTCCCAACGATAAATCGGAAAAATTTTTAACATTAAAGACGAAAAATAATACTGTTAACAGAGGAAGTTCTTACAGAAGCATGCAGGCGTTGTACCGCTCCATGATCCATTTTGCAAACAGATCCTTGTCTCGTTTCCTTCCATGTAAAATCCACGTGGACAGCTGTAGTGCGCCACTCCGCCTACACTGTGGGTTGATACTTGCGTCGATAATACACCGATTTTCTCCGGATCTCGGCATCGGATTTCTATCAAAAAATTGCTCGTTGTGATTAATCCTTGTATAATTTAATATCTATGATGATTACACCACTTTAATCCTACAAAATGCGTGTAATTTTTACGCGACAGTTTTCTCTGTATGTATGTTGAAGAATTAAATATCTCCGGCTAATTACCTCGACAAACCGGAGTGTCACTGCTCCAGGTGCTGTTTTCGAGACACAGTCTTCTAGCGAAGCCATCCAGCTCGAAATTGCCGTCGCACTCGTAAAGTGCAGCCGCTCCGTAATACGTTGCGTTTGATGTCAACGTGTAATGTCCGTGTTGAATGTGCTCGGGTTTGCCACAATCGACATCTGTCAAAAGAATGACATTTGTTCAATAGTTTTAACATTAAAAAAGAAACACCGATCGGTATTTCACTGGCGTAAACAATTTTTTCTACGATATTTCATAACACTATTCTTAACGAAATCCTTATTGATTATTTAGCGAAGAAGAGATTACATTTGTTTGAAATGGTCCATCATAGTCGTAATATTTCTACATTATATGACGCACAATCGATTCGTGTTAGTGCATGATTTCGTTGAGATTCGACAATCCTTGAGCGCTTACAGACGCATTGCGGCACTTCGCCGCTCCACTTTCCATTCTCCTCGCAGGTGGACAGAGGTTCCCCGACTACCTTGTATCCCCTCTCGCACCGATACTTCGCCAGGGCCCCAATTTTGTACGAAGTCGCGCCTGTGTTCGAATTCTCCGCAGTCCCGGTGCGAATCAGCGTTCTTCCATACATCCGATCGTTTCCTGTCACCGAAAGAATCCCGTGTTCCGCCAACACAGGTTCCGGGCAACGAATCTCTGAAATAAAAAGATATACAAATGCAATGAACGTGCCGTATAAAGTAAAAGACACTTTGGATAATTAGGAGAAATTCGTATTCAAACTTTTATAATGTGTACGCGGAGAGCAGTGAAAAACAGAAAAACGAATTTTCCGAAAGTTTAGGACACACATACACATCGTATATTAAACCAATCTTGAAATTATACTATACAAAGAGGGTCACGTGCTTTACGAACATCACACATCCTGTTTGAAACGGGAATTTAAACCTTTGTCCTCTGTGTTAATATC